TTTTGAGCTGTTGGGGAGTGAACCAGGGTCCTCCATTTTTACTTTTTAATTCATTTTTCCATTTATGTGTTTATTTAAAGTGTGTGTGTGTGAAGAGAGAGTGGCTAAGTCATGGGAACATTTTTTAGTAGTTGGTTCATTTCTCCTTTCCACAGTGGGTCGCAAGGATTGAACTCAGGTCATCAAGCCATCTCACCCTACATTTTGAGACAGGGCCTGGGTCAGGCCTGTGCCACTAGTCTTGCTCTGCCTGTGAATTTCTTGAGTTCAAGATCTAGTTTTAGTGTCTAGCAGAGTTCCTAACACTTTGGATAAATGTTTGAATGAATGAAGAAGTGAATGAAAGAAAGAAACAAAGAAAAGCAGTGAGTCAAGCAAGGCTTATGGCCTTGGGACCAGCAGTGTCAGCACAATCTGGGGACTTGTTTTTATTTTGGTTTATTTCATTATTTTATTTTATATGTGTGAGTAGTTTTGCCTGCATGTATGTATGTATATGTATCATATGTGCAGTGCCTATGGAGACCAAAAAAGGGTGTTGGACCTCCTAGAACTGGAGTTATAGATGGTTGTTAGCTGCCATGTGGGTATTGGGAACTGAACCTGGGTTCTAAGAGCAGCCAGTGCTCTTAACCACTGAGCCATCTCTAGCCCCCGCCTTTTTTTTTTTTTTTTTTTTTTTTTTTTTTTTTTTTTTTAAAATTTCTATGTGTATGAGTTTTTTTGCCTGCATGTATGTATGTATGTGAACCATGTGTGTGCAGTGCCTGTGAAGGCTGGAAGGGGATGTCAGATTTCTTGGAACTGGAGTTATCCATGCTTGTTAGCTAACACATGGGTGCTGGGAACTCAACCCATGTCTTCTTCAAGAATAGCAAGTGCTCTTAAGCATTGAGCCATCTCTCCAGACCCATAATCTGGGAATTTGTTGACGAATTAATGAGCCTTATCCTAGTTGACAAAATGAATGATTGTAGGTTGGGCCTTGAAATCTCTGTTAGGCCCTATCTCTATTAGGCTTGTTAAAGTTGATAAATCACTACTGTTTAAGGTTTGTTTTTGATGAAATCGGCACTCTTCTGTTTCTCTACTTCCTCCTTTCTCTTCAATTGTACTTCCTGCCCACTTTCCATTCTTCTCATTCTGTTCACACCCCTCCCCTCCAGTCCATCTCTTAACACTAGAATGGAAGCTTCTTGAAAGCAAGAAATTTTTCTCTGTTCAAGTTCATTGTTTTAAGCTCAGTGCCTAGAATAGTAACTGCAATTAGCTCAGACATTCAGATATTTGCTGGATGAATAATATGATTTAGTCCTATTTATTGCCAGCTGCTACTGTGGGGTTTTATTCAAGAATAGTTTAGTGAAAAGTAACCACATCCCAATATGCAAATTCAGAAGGATGGTAACATTTTGGGGGGATTTATTTTAATTTTATCCCTTTCTCCCGCCGTTCCTTTCTCCCTCCCTCTCCCTCTCTCCCTTCCTTCTTTCTCTCCTTTCCCATGATCTTTATTTCCTGTTTTAAACATTTTTTAATATATATAATATATTAATATTATTCTTGTCTTTTTGAGACAGGGTCTCTTTGTAGCCCCAGCTGGCCTGGAACTCACTATGTAGACCAGGCTGGCCTTGAACTCCCAGAGATCCGCCTGCCTCTGCCTCCTGAGTGCTGGGATTAAAGGTGGGTGCCACTACGCCTGACCTAACATACATATTTTTTGAAACAGGGGTCTTGCCACGAATCCCAGGCTGGCCTCAAACTTGTGGCAGTCCTCATGCCTTAGCTTCTTGAGTTCTGCGATTATAGGCATACACCTGGCTTTGCTTTCTACTTCTATAAGGGTTTCCAATTTATTCTTTTTATTATCATAATTGTTGTCATGACCTGAAAACTGCTGAAATATCCTAGGGCAGGATTCTTTCTTAGGAATTTGCAACTTGGTTTTACAAGTCTAAATAAACACCATAACTTTTTTTTTCTTTTAATCTTTTACTGAATTTTTGTGTATTTCATACAGAAAATCATCTTTTATACCCCCTTCTCCTTTGGCACCCTACCATAGCCCCCTCCACTGGAGTTCATGCCTTCTGTCATTTGTGTTAAGGTCTATCATGTCAAGTTAGTGTCCCTAGATGTCCCTCAGTGCAAGTTCATACACTGGGATCTAGTCAATCAAGAGTCCCTCCCTTTGAGAAGATCAGCTCATGCTCTCCCAGCAGTAATCAGCTGCCAATAATTCTTTGACTAAGATTGGGGCCTGCTGTTCATTTCCACAGTTCTGTGCTGGGTTTTTGTCTGCTTAAGTTTGCATGGGTCTTGTGTATACTGGCACCGTTGCTGAAGGTTTGTGTGAAAAGAGCCCCAGGAGCCTGTAGGACAGTTTCAGTATGGTCATGCACCGCCTCCCTGGCTCTTACAGTTTTTTCGCCCCTTCTTCCACAATGGGTGGGTGGATTTTAATATAGGAGTCCTGTCCAAGGACCCACACTCTGCAGATTCTTATTCTCTGCATTTTGGCCATTTGTGACCTTTTGCATTCCTGGCCCTCTGTTGCATGAGGAAGCTTTATTGATGAGAATTGAAAGATACATCAGTGTTCTCTTCATCCCTTGTTCTGTATTCCGTGACCTTTAGGTAGAGGTTGCATTCTAGATGTGCGGTTT